ATTATATTTGATAAGCTGATAAGCTAAATATAGCTAAATTAATTATAGTAATTAGCACGTTATTAAGAAAAGACTTAAAAAAATAATGAAAAAGAAAAATTACGGAGAAATTATAGTATTGTTACAGTACTTCTAGGAATACTTTTATGAATGACTATAAAAATTTCATTGCAAAATTATAATAGAATGAGAAAAGAAATAGGGTATTGTAATAGCAGCAAAAAAGAAAAAAGTTAAGAAAAGGAAGAAACAAAACAAAAACAAAGAAAATACAAGATTTCTCAAACTATCAAAAGAAACAAAGTCGAATTCAAAAAGAAACCTCAAATAAAATTAACAGATGAGTAAAATTAGACAAGAAAGAGGAGTAGTTATATTTTAAAATTTAAATAAAAAATCTTAATATAGGCTAGTAGTAGCTTCTTAATAATTAAAAAGTAAAAGTCTATGCATGTAAACTAAAGCTTCTATAAGAGAAATAGTTGCTATAGCAGATCGCACTTGAGCATCTAAAAGTAGCTAAGTGAGCTTGAAATAATTAAAAGAAGAATAGTTTAATATAAATTATATAATGAATTATCTTGTAGCTTATAGTAGCTTTTTCTTAATAAAATAACAAACAAGATCACCTAAGTTAAAAAAAATAATATATATATATATATTATTTTAAAATGTTAAAATTTTATTTTTTAATTTTAATAAAGATATTTAATTTTTTTTTAAACTCAATTTTGTAAACCTATTATTAAACATTTAAAATTTTATATATTTTTTCAAAAAAATTTTTTTTTTATTTTTAATTAAAATTAAAATTTTTCTTATAAAATTATAAAAAGTATAATAACAAAAGTATTTATTTTTTTTTTTTATAACTTTTTATTAAGATAATAAAAATTAAATCTTAAATTTATACTAAATAAAATTTTAAAAATTTTTTTAAAAAATTAAAAATTTTATTTTATAGATAACTTAAAATTTTTTGTAAGAATTAGAAAAATTAAAATAATTTTTATAAATAATATAAAAATATTTTAATTTTAAAAAAAATAGATTAAACAAATTTATAAAATTTTAGTAGCCAAATTTGCCTGCCAAACTAGACAGTTTAAGGAATAACTTATTAAATAAAGATAGAGACAAGACTTCAACTATTTGGTTAAAATTAAAATATATATATATATATAATGCAGCGGATACGTATACGTAAAATATATATAGTTATTTATACGTATACTGTTATTCATGTACTGTATATATGTACGGAAAAATTTTTATAAGTTACGTATAATAAAATTAGCTTAAATAGACAAATGACGCACGTAAAAATTAAATACTTGAATTAAATAAAAATAAAAATAAATTATTAAAAGTAGTTATAAATGATTTTTTTTATTAATTTTGAAAATTAAAAAAGTTTATTAAACAAAAAGCTTGATCATAATATAAATGTTAAAATATTAACGTTATCATATATATAATTACAAAGATTTATGCGCATTTTTAGATAAAACTTAATATAATTTAAAATAATTTCGAATGTTTTGAAAGATTGAAAAGAAAATGTCTTGGTTTTTTTTTTTTTTTTATTTTGTTGGATGAATAAATGAAGAGTAAAGAGGTAAATAAAGAAACAACTCTCGCAACTCTGATTAACCCACTTTTTTCAAATCCCAACACCAACTTTTTTTTTTTTTTTTTTGATGCATAAAAATTCTTGGCAATAAGTCTATTTTTTTGATACATTTCCGGCATCATTTTTACCATCCGCTCAATATTGTCATAAAAACATACACAAATATCCTAGAAATTTAAAAAAGTGTGATCAAAAGGAATAAATAATAAATAAATATCTTTTAAAAGGGGGAAGAATAACGCGAGATCAAGGGGGAAAAACTTGATCATGGTTATAAAAATAATAAATTTTTTCGTTGAGGCTTAATGTACAAAAAACCTCTATGTATAAAATCTAAAAAAAGTTACAAGTGTACATAATACAAGAAAAAAAATATTAAAACAAATTAAAAGCAAGAAGAAAAAAAAATCGATAGATTCTTAAAAGAAATTTTTTTTAAAAAAAGTAAAACCAAAATTTAACAAAAATGAAACAAAAAAAAAAAAAAACATAATAATAATAACAAAATGAGAAAGAAATTTCTAAGGAATAAATCGTGATATTTGAAAATACAAGGATAAACTACAAACGGACGAACGGTAAATGTTTGTTTGTTTTTTTTTTTTTTTTTGCCAAGCCGGTCGGCATTTTATGTGTGTGTATAAAATTTATGTATATATATGTATATAAAAAAATGTCCAAAACTTAAAAAAGAAATTTAATTACGAAGAGACTTCTTTTTTCGGCCACCTTTTTTTCCATAGGCCATTTTTGCGAGACCTTTAACATGAGCATCGAATTTATTAAGGTCTTCTTCATATAGTTCCAATTCTTTTTTCATAGCCTTTGCCATTCTGAATTCAGGACTATGTTTAATTAGATAATAGAATTCTACGACTTCAGCAGTAGTTTTATGTACTTGTTTACCAATCAAAGGAAAGTCTTTTCCATGTTTCAAGTAAGAAGCGGTAAAAATTTTACGTTGATAAGGAGACCAAGAAGCTATTATAGAAGTTTTTGAAGGAGGAATAGGATAATTTTGATTTTTTGAAGGAACGGAATTATAACCACCAAAACCAATAACACCATGAGGATTAGTTAATGGAATACGTCTAGGTTTAGTAAAAGGAGCATCAAGAGCAATTGGTATTGGAGCAGCGCGCATACGATAATAAAGTTCTTTTTCATCATCTTCAGAAATAGCAGATTTATGTTTTCTTAGACGCGTAGCAGGACCGGATAAACGACGTTTACCCATTATTTGCTCTTTAGTACGACTACTTGGTTTTGGTTTTCTAGAAGAACGACGAGGACTGGCAGAACAAGGACTTGACGGCGGACTAGAGCCGACACTACTTGCAACAGAAAATACAGGAGAAGGATGCATTTTTCTCGCAACTATAGCCAAAGATGCAAGGGTTGATATAGCATCTTGTTCATTAGAACCGATATCATCTTCAGCAGAACTATATGAAGCGGGACTTGAAGAGAACTCACTAGGGGAGATAGTTCTCTGAGGAGAAAAATGAGCACTAAAAACGACGCGTGGAAGGGACCGCGAAGAAGAATTAGAGACATTATTAAGATTATCATTTCTAATATTTAAGAAAGTAGGGTCTTTTCGCGTTTCCAATGGTTTAGAAATATTAGGAAATTTATTATTTTGATATAAAGGAATAGCTATAGGGAACACGGTATTAGAATGATTTTTTGGGATTGAAGGAATTGAAAACATGTGTGTAGTAAATTGAGAGAGTTGAGCCGAAGCCATTTTGAAACTTTATAAAACCTCACAATAATAAAAAATACTTTTTTTAGTAACGAGAAAAAAAAAAAAAGAAAAAAAAAAGGTACACGAAAGATAAATTAAAAAAATTAGTTATAAAGATACACGTGTTTAACAAGAGCCTACGTCAAACAATCAGTGGTATGTGGCGTCCCTTGTGGTCTAGAGCGGTCAGACTCGAAAAATAAATAATAGAAATAAATAAAGTCGTGGAACTAGCCGCACCTCCTACAACGCAATAAAAAGGAAGAGAAAGAAACCTTTTTTATATATATATTTTTTTTTATTCAAAAAAAAAAAAAAAAATTGGTGATAAATAAGCAAGTTTGGCGTCGTGATGGAATAAATAAGAATAGTTATAATAAGAGACAAGTAATGAAGGTTAAGAGAGAATTGGAGATGAGAAGAAAGAGAAGAAGAAGAGAAGAGGGTTAATAAGAGATCTCTTGAAAACGAAGTTCACGAAAAGAAAAGCGTTAAATTAGAGGAGTCCGCGTTGGTAGAAGGGACGAGCACAGAGGACAGTAGTTAAGAATAGAAAACACGCGATAGTTGACAAAGTGACGCGAAAATAAAAAAAAAATAGAATAGGAATTATACAATAACAAAAAAGGTTGAAGCGTTGTCGGAGGGGCGGTTATTCAAAGAAATTGCGATATTTGAGTGGGGAGGTTAGAGCAGAACAAAAAAAACAGGGTATTATTGTAGTCTTGTACCATACCATAAATATCATCAAAGGTTCACGAATGAGTCAATTTGGCAAACCCAGATAAAGCCAATACTAGTCCGATGTTACACACCGTCCGATAGTATAAATCATCGAACAGATGTTCAAATAAAGCAACCCATTATTTTTTTAATACTCTATATATTTCCCAAATATTGTCTACGTATTATATTGGGTTTTTTTAACGGGATTATTCCTAATAAATTTTACTGCATGTAATTTTTCTTTGCCCGATCCATTTCATTGTGGGGTTGAAAGAAAGAAAAAAAAAAAGAGATTTAATGAAGAGAAGGGGAGAGAAGAGAAAAGATAATAAATAACTAACTGAATAAGATCTATTATATATTTAAGTTATTTGAGTTATTTTAGAGTTTTTGAGTTAATTTGAATTAAATTTGAGTTATTTGAGTTTTTTTGGGTCATTAAAGAAGTTTAAAAAGGAAGAGATTTTTAAAAAAGAGAACCTAAGCGCGAACAACGAGACCGAAATTTTTAGGGTATGAAGGAGTCCGGATATAGAAAGATTTTCTAATCAAACAATTATATTACTATAAAAAATTACTATAAAATCTATATTGATATAATAAATACATTATAAATATTATAAATCATACATAACTACTACATATATACATATTATATATACATAATGATAATAATAACAATGATACTGTAATAATGATAACGATAATGTAAATTTCAAAATATTTTAGTTAAAGCAGTAGTACACAAATTTAATACTCCGATAAATAGCGAAATGATAACTATTTTACGCGTAAACCTGTTACGGAGTTGACACGACGACCGGAACTTTGTAATCTTTTCGGAACGATTATTCTTAATATTGCATCACAAAATAAAAGCGCAGCTATATTACGTACGATGATTTGTAGTCTCATATGCATGTGGATGTCATCCTACTAAACGTCATACTTGTAACGTTACCGGAAAAAATACCGTACAATTTGGTTTCATGAGACTTCATATGATTAATAATTTTACCTGTAATGCAGTAGTCACTAGACGCGGGAAAAATAATTTTCGGACATTTTTGTTTTTTGGCACTAACGTTAGAGTAATTTATACGTATACGTAGCGAATCTTACTGCAGTCGGAAATTGGATGTTGTATTCTTAAAGTAATACGAGAATGTCAATAAAGAAAGATTTTTGTCAAGCCACACATGCATATCAATTTCGTTCGTTTCACGATCGTGTTTCATATTAATGTCCCAATCATTTTGATTTACATATGCAATATGTAGATTAAATGTAGAGATTAAAGTGATTATCTATCACAATTCAATTCTTATTGGTCAAGCCAAACCTTCTGAGAAATTTTTGTGAAATCTTTTGAGAAATCTTTTAGATTCTAAGAATGTCTGATGTTTCGGTTCCTTGTATCTCGATCCATTATAGGATCTTCCGTATCCAATAATTTTCGTCCTCGTTTTTATTCTACTAATGAAGGTATTCATTCTTTGCATCTTTATTTCGTGTTTTATTTCGTGTTTTGTCCGTGTTTTGTTTCGTGTTTCATTATTTTTATTTCTCATAGCCACGGACTCTTATCTACTTACACGTTTGAAAAATGATTTGAAGGATGCGATGAAAAACAAAGATAGATTAAAATTGAATGTTGTTCGAGTAATTATTTTTATAAACTTGTTTATTATTTGATTTTTGCTTCTTTTATAGTATAACCTGAATGCATTATAGGGCCTTCTCTCGGATATCACTTACGCAAGTAAATCTCCCTCCGCCAAATCTTTTTCCGCTTCTGACAATGAAATTTATAAAACAATAAATCGTGCAATTAAACGTCGCCAAGAATCTATTGATAAATTTACTCTAGCTAATCGATTGGATCTCGTAGAGAATGAATCCTCTGAATTATCTCTCTTAAATTCTTATTTACCTCAACAAATGTCTGAACATGAAATTGAACTTGAAGTTGTAAAAGTTATTGATCAAATCGGCTCAGATGATGCTGGAATTAAAGATTTGGGAAAAGTTATGAAGGAATTGAATCTTGATAATTCTAGAGCTCCAAAAAAAATTGTCGTTGAAGTTGTGAAAAAGGTCTTGTCGCGAAAAACTGGTTAACTTCATTGTCTCTATTCAAATGTATTAAAATTTTCTTTCACCAATATTCTCTTTTTCCGTTAATCATGTATGTATTATCTTACCTATCTACGTCCACACATTGAGTACGTGCCTTTGATTTTTTTTACCAAATCATTTGCTTTTCATTATAATCGTGCAACCAATGTGCGTTCCTAATATTATTGTTGCATAACTGATGGTCACGTGAGTAGAAATACCATTTATGTACACAAATACTGTTACCAGTTACGAGTTACTGTTTCATTTAAGATACTTTGAAACGTGCTTGGTTTATAATTGTATTAGAAATAGCTAGCACTAGGTATTTCTCTTTAAATTATTGTCCGAGCAGATTGTGTGTATATTATTCACATAACCGATATTTAAAATCTAAAATGTTTATTAAATATAAATAATATCTTAATAACTATATATTCAAAATTGATAAAAAAAAACTATTTGCATTTTACAATTCTGTAAAATTTAAATAAAAAATTTTTATTATTTTATTAAAATGTTTATTTTAAAATAATTGTATTAAATTAATTTTTATTAAAAATAGAAGTTTAATAATTTTGATAAAGTTGTTTAAATTGTCAAATTACAATGTAGTAGATCTAGAGTTCAAATTTTATTATCAATAAATTTGAAAAATAAATTTGTATTTTATAGAATTTTATTATTTTTGAAGTTGTAATTATGTAAATTAAATTATATTTAGTTATTTTAATTATTAAAAAATAAGATATTATATAAATAAATTTTAATAGAATTTATAAATAAAGAATCTGTATAGTAGAAATCTTAAATAGTAAAATAATATAGCTTTTGATAGTTTATACTTATAAAACTTAAAACTAAAAAAAAAACTGTCTTAAAATATAAATAATTTTAATCTATATATCTTAGTAGCATTAACTTAGTATAGTAATTAACTTATTTGTATTTATAATTTGCTCTATTAATTAAAAACTATCTTTATATTTATATATTATTTGAAAAGTATTTGATAATAACAAATATATATATTATATTTAAACTTTCTAATAACCTATTAGTATATTTGTTTTTAGTTTTTATATAACTATATTATATAGCTATATTATATATATATATATATATTTTTTTTTTTTTTTTTTTTTTTACAAATGCTATTAGCCGAAACTTTATTAGTTATTTGATAGTAGGTAATAATACATATTGTGAGAATACAACTAGTCACACGTACAACTTTAGATTGTCTATTTAAGTAGTCCGCCTGAAGGTTCTACACTAGTTGCAATACCTAAAATCTATTTGAAGATTCTTTATTTAAACCCTTTGGCCCTATGACTTACCTATTTCTATCTATTTATCCTAATTCAGCCTAATCCTATGCTACTTCTCCAGGAAGACACCTGAGCTGACATATGTTATATTATATTTTAGTTTGTTTAAAAGACTAAATTAGTTATTAACTCTTTTTATTAATTTTCTGATTACTTTTTTTCAAAAAAAAAAATTTAAACTACAAAAATACTTTTCTGTTATACAAATAATAATATTTAAAATTAATAATTTGGTAACTTTTTCTGATGTTTACTGAAAACAACAATCAAAAGAAAGAAAAAATAACAACTGCTACATATACTACTACTAATAATTAAATAATTAATTAATATTTTAGATATAACAAACTACAAATTCAATACTAAATATAACATTGTCTAAAGAAATCTAAACTAACAACTCTAACAAGAGAAAAAGTCCTTACAACAACACAAATCTGTCTTTTAAGGACTAGGCTACAACTAATTATACAAAAAAGTTGTTTAGAAACTCTAACCAACTTATATATACTCTATTAACAGATAATAAGAAAGTAATGGAAAGTATTAGTAACAACCAAAATAACTAAAACAACTACTCTAAAAAATAGCATTTTGACAACTTAACTTTTTATAATACAATACAAGAGAAAAAAAGTAGACAAACTAGTTTACCTCCTTCAAAACACAATATCATATCACATGCATCTAGCACAATAATAACAACAACCAAAAATAGATACAATAATACAAATACAATAGTCACAGAAAATTACAACATAGCTAACAACCTAAATAAGGAGTCATTTAAAGTCTGATACCTTATGAAATTATCTGATATATAACTCAGATCAGTTCAAACAAAACAAAGTGAGATAGCAAAGACAAAAACACAAAATATATAAAAAATGGCTATTCAAACCAGTCTTGGTTAACTAAGTAAAAGTGTTGAAAAGGCAATTTTACTATATATAAACTACTCTCTAACTCCACTCTAGCCCTAACTCTAATATTAATTTAAAAATGAAAAAAAACAGAAAAATCAGGTAATTTCGTAAAGTGCCAGGCTTTAAATATTCTTCTAAATAAGTAACTAAATATAGATAATTAACAAACATATGCATAACAAACTAAGCTACATACAGAATACCTAAATAGTCCTAATAATAATAATTCTAATATGATAATTGAAGAATTAATGACTATTAATCACAATACCAACATGTAACAACTAAAACAACTCTAGCTCTCCTATAGTCAGACACTTAAACAAAATACTAACTTAGACATGATGATCCTTAAAGAAGAAATAAAAGAAGATTACGAATCAAATTAGTCTATACAACTAACAACCAAAAAAGAAGAAAAGATCCAAAACTCTTTTAACGAAAAAATCTGGACTAAAGACAAAATTATTGATACACTTGATAGCTTAACAAATCTAACTGAATTTCTCTTATATAAATTAAATATAGTACTAACAAAATATAATATCCCTAAGGCAATTTTACTTAAATTCAACTACAGAGACTCTGCTTTCTTTAAAACCTTTACAAACAAGAAGAATATCATGTCTGCATATCAAACAGAATTTAATGACTTACTCCAAAATGCAATTAAATCATACAAACTCAAAAACAATATCACATTCACTAACAAAGAAACCTAAGATCTAATACAAACCAAACTTTACCAAAAACTTACAACTGACTACTTGTTAAACCTTAACTTTAGAACCTTAAAGCTATATCAAACCTTCCAAATACTCAAGTATTGTAGAAACTTCATCAAGGCAACTCCACTTGAAAATCTGAAAACTATATTAGATACAATCTACTAAGTCCATATCTCCCTTTGCACAATTCTACCTAACAAATCTGAACTAATCAACAAAGAAATCTAGAAATACTCCCTTTTGAATTACCTATAGTAAAAAGATTACAAACTAAAGCAATTACTAATATCTTACATACTATTTTTAACTTTGATACTCTATTAGAGATATATTTTATTACTCTACTCCAGGTACCAGATAATCTCACACAACTCAAAGAAGAACTCAAGAAGTTTTTTCTTATAACTGACTCTAGAGTACTTAAATATCTAGAATATTATCAAAACAAACTAGCTAACTATTACAATTTAATGAAAATTCCATCAACTTACTTTGATCTACTTTACCTAAAGAACTTCTACTTCTAACTTACTACTAACTAAATAGTAGAATTAGATACTTATTTCTAATCGATCCAAACTACTGTGAATTTACTCTGCAACAAGTAGTAGAACTACTATGCAACTATTACTTCTTCAAGAGAATATCTAATGATTTCTTCAAACAGAAGTCTATACTACTAACTAATCCAAAGAAGATCAAGACTATTACTCAATATATTTATCTAATTACTGATGATAGTATAGCAAAAGACTTTCTACAAGAAGTCTTATACAAATATAAAGTTAGATTTTTAATTCATACTGATATCATGATAGTTAATCCTATTGAAAAATCTAAATTACCAGACAACCCTTAAGATATCTTAGAATTTAATCTAACACTTCTAATCTCTACACTTTAACAACTCATACATACTACAAAACTACTTTGTACACAATACTATTTCAACAAAATTTCAGATTCTTAGATAAAAATTGATTAAGACAACACACAACTAGACTTAATCTTAGATACAAATACAAATGATACTAATAACAAAAAACCTGCTATTCTATTAACTCTTGTAGAACTTCAAGAAAAAACTCGAACTTATTTAAGATGAAATCCTTGTTATACTTCCTATTATACAACAACAAAATATAATACCTATACTAACAATACTCAAACAATACTTTGAAATTAATAAAATACTAACATATCTCCTACAACTCCTACTTCTTCTAGTTTCAAGGCTTCTTGTACTATTTCTTTTGAAAGCTTCTGGCTTTTTACTATCTGTAGCTTTCCTAGCTTTTGGATCTACTTCATATCTTGTTGAGTTTGTTCATCTTAACTTGTTATTATAGTAAGACAGTGCAAATTTAGAGCAATTTAACATGTCTTCTTCCTTTTCAAAATAAACTATTGCATTTCTCATATTGTTGTTATTAGAGTTCTTGAAAATATGTAGTGCTTTAGCTTCTGATCTTTTTATTTGTCTCCACAGGAGTACTTCATTTGTATTTTCTGGCAAGTCTAGTAACCTTTTGCTGAATCTATTTCTTGTACAGAGTGATGAGAAGTTGTTAGTACCTATTGAGATTCTTACCAGTATTTCGTTCGCAAATAGCAGGCACCAGATCTCGTTTATTTTCTTTTTATTAACAGTTTCTGTTTTAAACTCTACTTCTGCTCTTGTTTTGTCCGAAGCACTTTTAATCATTTCGATATGTTCTACTTTTCCTAAAAAGTGAACTGTTTTAAACACCTGTGTTCTTCTGGCCCAAATTGGCAAATTCCAAACTGTAATTTTGTGGATATCCTCTGTTGGGCTTAGATTTCTGTTAGCTTGATGTATTGTAGATTCTTTCTTTTTAGAGAGATTTTGTTCGTGTATATTAATTTTTGCTTTTTCTCCTCTCTTTTCGAAAACTTCTTTGAGTTCTTTTTCTGCTTGCTTTTCTCTATTGCTTTTTGTTTCTTGGCCCTCTTGAGTTGAGTTTCCTATGTCTTGGTTTTCTGCTGTTTTATCCAGT